TTTCTTTGGGTCACTGAGCTCAGGATCGCAGGCAACCACGAACTGACCTTTGATCAAGCATACACCGGCGATCGAGTCGCTTCTCCGCAGTAGATTTTGCACTGGCTGCACTGGCTTTTTGATGCCTTTTTGGCAGGTTAAGGCATGACGGCTGGAGTGTTGATGAATGGGTGCATCCAGGCGTGCCACCATACTTTGCACCCAATAGGAGCATGGGAGGGACGGTGTGGGCGCAATGCCACCTCCCCCCCCTTTTGGTACTCTTTTTCGCCACAAAGGCGAAGCTGTTTATTCCACAGACAGTGACTGAGGTCAAAGGGACGGGCGACGTCTCAGTGCGGAGCGTGTTTCTCAAGTCCTTCGATGCCAGCGAGCTTCGGACCTGCAAAGCGGTTGGAGAACGTCTTCCATGTTTTGTCCTGGTTCAAGGCCTCAGCCAGGAAGGCTGCCGTGGGCCGGTTTGTGGCGGAGCCCTCGGGTTCGCTTTGGTTTGCCGAAGGGCATTTTTTTGAATACATGCCGACAAAAACAGAACCTCAACCAAAGAGAAGGGGGGGGGCAGGGCGGCCAACAAATTAGAAACTGCCAACATTAAACAATTGCAAACCGGAAGTATGCAGAACCCATGTGGGCGTTGTTTTCTTTGGGCATGCAGCAAAACATCTCAGGTTGACTACACGATCATTTGGCACGCTACAAGGTATGGGAAACCAGTTCAACCTGACAATTTGATGTTCCAAGGAGGTGCTGTCCACTCCTTTTGATACTTTTGGCTACGTCGTTTTTTTTTTTTTTTTTTTTCGCGACTGGATCACTGAAGATTGGCGCTCAACTGTTTTTTGGGGTTTAATTTATGAATGCTAGTGACATTGCGTATAATTTTGGCTCAGTTTTTGACTCACACCACCTCATGACACTTGATTGAAGGGTGTGAGATGGGTCTGTTGCGCCCAATCTCCGAATAATGTTCAAACTTAAATTGGGTTCTGAGGAGGTTCAGAAATGGATTTGGTCGAACCAATGATCGGGTCTCCTCTCCCGGATTGGCCCTGCATGTGAGGGCTGGCCAAAGTGATGGTAGGACATGGGGTAACGAAATGTAACGAAGGTCTATATAAATTAAACTCAAACGGCTAGATCGGCTGGTCCGACAAGCCATGATCTCTCACAGTAGGGGTGTACTCACTGCGATTCCCCTGAATTTGCCAGTTGATGTTTCATAGAAAACCACGTATCCATTGATCAGATCAGATAGTGCATTCAAAGTTGGTTGTGTTTCTGGCCTTTTCCCCTGCTTGATCGCTTGATGGATCGCTCCTAATTGAACCCCCTTGATGAATGTGCCGAGGATGGTGTCATCTATTTGGAAGATGAGGAGGTCGTGCTTCGATTCTTGGCAAGTTACATCTATGGGGCCCAGTGTTGGAACTGAAATCCCAAACGTCGCAGCATTTGTGTGTGGTGTCCGTTCGCCAAAAAAAGGCAAGTCTTTGTATGGTCATATGATGTCATATGGTTATTTAGATCCCAGCCCCCATCGACGCCCAAAAACTCATAGCGAGCCCTAGCAGCAGCGAGCTTCCGCTGGATCCGGACGTCTGAAGGTGGCGTGCGGATTTACGGGACCCCTTGGCAGCCGGAGTTCCTGGATTGGGCCTTCAACGTGCCACGACAATCCATCAAGGAGAAGTGGAAGGTGCGAAGACGGACTTGGGAACCCTAGCTCATGAGCCCTCACCAATGCGTTTGATGCATTTTGCTCAAGTTCCGGCCACGTGGGGAGTTGACCATTTGGTGAGGTCGTCCTTTGGGTCTGACGACCGCGATGCACCGCGGAGGTGATCCCCGAGAACCTGGATGTGCTGCTGGTGCATGGCCCGCCATTGGGCCGTGGCGATGCCTTAATGCCCTCCATGCGACGGCGCGGCTGCATGGACGCTGAGCGGTCGTTTTCAAAGAGAACCGGAACGAAACGGAGTCTGAAGAACACCGAGTGGTTGGGGAAAACGAGGTGCTTAGCTGTGAAGAAGGTCTAGCAAATAGATGAAGAGCCAGTGCCAGGGACTCACATTTGTGATATGATATGTTTGCTCATGTGTTCTCTTCCCTCACTTCAGCGGTGGGTTGCAGCTCTGAATCGAGTTCTCATGTTGAGCAGGCCCAATGGGGGGCCATGTCTTGTGAACTCTACTGGCAATTGCGACTTTCTTGTCCACCGAAAGACCAATATAATATATATATATATATCCTCCAAATGGATCTGACTGAACATCCACCACCACCCCATTTTTCACTCTCGATTCTGAGAATTGGCCGTGCAATCCTCATTTTTCACTCACAAAACACCTGAGTCCTTTTTTTTTGCCGTGCCATCTGAGGATCTGCTCTTGGAAGTCCAAGAGCGGATCAAGCCGCAGTTCTGCGTCTTCGGACACATCCATGAGGGTGCGGGCGTCACCTTTGATGGTACCACGTGCCCTGGAGAAGGCGATGACGCCCCTCCGAATGCCCTCGGGCGATGACGCCGAAACGGCAATCCGCAGGACCCACCAGTCCCCCTGATCGATCGCAGTTGGGTTCAGACACCCGCAGGGCATCAACTGGTAGGGCATCAAACTGTTTTTGGTCAAAAGTATTTGACCAGTCAACAGTCCAAGGGATTCCAGGGGTTCTCAACTCGAAGAGGACTTTCCAAGTGGGTACTTGGCAAAAAGCACACCCAAAACCAACGAATGACCAACGTCTCACCAGTTCAGTACCCAAAGGAACGTATTCGCTGAGGCACTTTGTCAATGCCTCCTCCATGAACGAGCACTACCAGTGTATTCATGCGCCCCTGGTGTTCGACACTGGGAGAAATAGTCCGAGTGTATGACTGTCGTGTTCAGTCCCAAGGATTCCGAACCCACCAACAGTGGTGTCCTCCGTGTATTCGCGACAGTCAGAGCTACAAAGCCCCATGCTTCAGAAGAAACATGAAGCATCGAAGACACATAGATAGACTAAATATGGACTTGATGCATCCCCTCCTATTTGACTTGGGTGTAAAGTTGAATGCATGCACACACACAACTACTCAAGTCTTCATTCAAATTTACTCTGTAAACATTTGTAAACTAGAAGAATCTGATTAAGCCATCCAATCAATGCTTACTTGAGAAGTTGTAGCGACTAACTTGCAGAAACATGAGAGGATGATCCACATGTGTCATCTTCGCCTCAGGATATTCCGACCGTGTGATGCCATGACCGCAATGCTCGACCTTGGAAAACAAGCGAACAAACATGCTGTGAACACGAATCGGCGTCAGTGCCGTCCTGGTTGACGCATTGGGATTTTTGCGTTTGCGCACCTGCCTCGCAGAGGTAGGTCCTTGAGGATGACTTGGCCACCTGGACCTCGTTGGTTCAAGAGGAGCAACACATCGAACGCAAGTGGGCCAAGAACTTGAACGCAAGACTAGGTGACAGAACCCAAGCAGATACTATGACGCAGCAAGTAGAACAGCCAGCTCTCCAACAGTAACAGATCGGGGGCGGGGCTTGATGTCTTTCTCCCAAAGTGGTGAGCCATCTGCTCTCCAACGTCTTGCCATCAGCTATCAGCCCCCTCATTGGGGGACTCCAACTCCAACTCCAGTTCTTGACTCGAAAAAAACTGTTCAAAGCTCTTGAAGCTCATTGAAAGCTATTGTAAGTTCATTTTCTAAGACGAATCCAAAGGGCTGAATGCAACCCGCTGCGCTCCATGTGAGCGGTTTCGCGAACGTCGCGGTTTCCGGACCGTCCCCGCTTGGTCCGGACCGGTCGCACCACGCGGTGTCCGGACCCGGGCGCTGCATGGGAACGGAGTGCTCAAGGTGCAATACATCGGAGTGACTTGCCCAAGGGAGTTCGGAGTGCTGCGAGACCGGAAGGGGGACAATTCGGAAGATGAACGAAAGCCATGAGACCTCTTCAGGTGGCGAGTTGTTTGGGATCTGTGGCCAACCAACTGCTTTGGGGGTCGGATTGGGTCGTTCAGAGCGGTGAAGGATCCCAATTTGGAGGACTTTTGGGGTGAGGCATTGAGGCGGAGCCGAGCCTGCCCGGGCCTAGCAGGACCCTTTTCGTGATCAGTGATGATTAAAGTAATCACAGTTCTGTTAATCCGTCCAATGTGGTGCCTAGCAAGGTCAGATTTTGCACATGATACCTCGAGACACGTAAACACCCTTCTCCAGGAAAGGTTCATGGGAAGAGAACTCTGTGGTATTGGTCCCGCTAAAGCCCTCAGGGACCACCTCTATTCAGGTCCACTTGCAGTCATCAATCAGATGTCCCCTCAACTGTGAAGAACAATCACCAGTGACTGGCTACTTACACTAAGGTCTTGCAATCCCTGCGAGGAGGTGCACAGTCCGATGTTTGACAATGTCAGAAACATGTCAGGTGCTAAAGAGACCAGACTAGTTGGCTGATGTTCCAGAAGTGCAGATGTTTACTTGCCGCGTTGTTTGCGGACATCAGAATGCGAAACAACCAATCATAGTGAATATGAGATTCACCTGATTTCACCCGTGTGTATCCTTCTTCCATGGAGCTCCGGTTCGATTTTTTTGATAAGGAACGTGTGTTGCAAGAGGCATTTGGTGATGCATTGAATGTGACCCTTTTTTGTCACACCAGGATGGCCCTCGACCACAGAAGCTGCGGGACGTGCAGGTGGGCGCAAGCTGCGGGAAGCGTGTGCCAATGTGCAGGGTTGTCGAGTTTATGAGCTCTCAACTGTGTAGACAGGAAGCAAGAAGTGCAGTCGACCTCCATTTTCCAGTCATTCTCACTGTTTCAATACCCTTTCGCACTCGATTGCTGAACCGGATCTAGTGCTCTTCGGGACGCTTTTTTCACTGGATGAATCGAACCGTTTCTTCGTTGAGGTGGAGGAGATGGTGCAGGTGAGAAGTTCTCGCCCTGCCCGGAAACTGCAGTTTCTTTTTGATCGTTTTTTGTGGTTGATGTGAGCAGTTGGCGTGAGCAGATGTGAGCAGAGTTTGTTAGTAAGATTTACTTGTTGTGTCGATCAACGCAGAGTTTTCGATCTCTCAAGCTGAGCCAAAGTTGTTCGAGGTGAACCTAGTTGTCGGACCTTTTTCTACGTGCAGCGCAATTGCCAGTTTGGGCTTTGCGCGTAGGACGCGCTGAAAAAACATGCCGAACAAGAAGACAAAGAAAGGAAAAGAGCGCCTTGACAAGTTCTACCATTTGGCAAAGGACCAGGGATATCGAGCTCGCTCAGCTTTCAAGCTGATCCAACTAGCAAAGAAAAACAACTTCTTGTCGAAGTCGAAGGTGTGCCTTGATCTTTGTGCCGCACCAGGTGGTTGGTCACAGGTGGCGCAACGCAACATGCCAGTTGGCTCCAAGATCATTGCGATCGACCTGGCTCCAATCAAGGCCATCCCAGGTGTTACCTGTATACAGTCCGACATTACCACCGAGAAGTGCCGACAGTTGATCCGGAAGGAGCTTCACGGCGCATCCGCGGATGTGGTCTTGCACGATGGTGCACCGAATGTTGGCACCTCATGGAGCAAAGATGCTTATGACCAGGCTGAGCTCACGCTGCACGCACTGCGATTGGCCTGTGATTTCCTTAGGACTGGTGGAACGTTTGTGAGCAAGGTCTTTCGATCCAAGGATTACAACTCGTTGCTCTGGGTTTTCAACCAGCTCTTCAACAAGGTTGAGGCGACCAAGCCAACGGCCTCGCGGAATGTCTCCGCAGAGATCTTTGTGATTTGCCTTGGCCTGAAAGAAAGCAGGAGCAGGATAGACTCCAAGTTCTTTGACCCCAAGTGGGTCTTTATGGAGACTGTGGAAGTTCTAGATGAAGGACCCAAGAAGCCAGGAGCAACCTTGACGGAGCACTTTAAGAAGATGAAGAAGAAGAACAGAGATGGCTACGAGGAGGGGGATGACATGCGCATTGTGCCGGCGCATGAATTCATTGCCTCGGACAACCCGGCTGAAATCCTCATCAAGGCCCACAAACTGAGCCTCCAGGCGCCTGGGTGCGAGCCCATAGCGCAAAATGCGCTGACCACAAAAGACATCGAGGAGCTTTGCGGAGACTTGAAGGTTTTGGGAAAATCGGACCTTTCAAAGCTTTTGAAGTGGCGCATGAAGCTGCTCAGAGAACAAGAGAAGAAAACGAGAGAAGCCGAAAAGAAGAAGTCCGAAGACCCAACCACTTTGGCGATTCGTGCCAAGGCCAAGGTGCAAGCCGCACAGGCAGCTGCCAAGAAAGCCGTCGATCGAGGCTTAGCGCCTGACCTGGATAGTGCCATTGCGCAGTTCTTGGATGGCGAGGTGAAGGCTGAGGATGTCAAAGCCGCAGAGGAGGCACCCTCAGATTCAGAGGACGAGGCTGCTGATGATCGCTTGGAGCAGGACTTGAAAGACCAGATTGACAAGAGAAGAAGGGAGGATCGAAGAGATGCCAAGAAGATCATGAACAGACAAAAGAAGCAGGAATGGCGCAAAAAGATGAGCTTGGTCACTGGGAAAGGAGCCACGAACGAGCAAGCGGAACTCTTCCGTGTGACAGACAAGGCTGCGAAGGCTTTAGAAGATGCATATGCCATTCCTGAAGAATACCTCGAAGAAGAGCAAAAAGACTCTGATGAGGATCAGGGCGAAGAAGCCAAAAAGAAAGCAGAGCAAGATGAATCTGATGCTTCTGACTATGAAGATGATGATGAGATGGATAGATTAGCCAGAATGGAGGTAGACTTGGCCCTAGATCACGAGCTGCGAAAGGCGCAACTGACACACAAGAAGCGCAATGCCACACAGCGCACAGAGAAGGCCAAGAAAGAAACCCGCCGGCAGCGGGTCACACAGAGCTGGGCACAAGAGCTCACAGACTTTTGTGATGTCCAGCAGGGTGACGCCCGGCAGATGCAGGCCCTTGGGGATGAGAAGGATGCGCTTGAAGACGAGGATGACAGCGATGATGATCTCCAGGCTCTCCGAAAATTCCAGGAGATGATGGACAGTGGCGGCAGTGCTCGTGTTGACGGCGCAGCGCTGGAAGCTCTGGCTGAAGGTCCATCGGATGCTAATGGCGGCTTGTTGTCCAGTGCCTCAAAGATGAAACGTATCGCTGCAGCTTCCGATGAGGAAGAAGGCGATGAAGAGAACTTGGCGGAGATAGATGAACCTGAACAAAGGAAAGCCTTAGCGGACCAAGCTGTCGAAGAGACCGCTTTGGTCCCACATGAAGAGGAGTTGAGGGGGGAGCAGCGCGCCCATAGATGGTTCAGTCAAGACATCTTCTCCGGCCTCTCCAAACGTCAGTCAGCGCTGCGCGAAGTTGACTCTGACAAAGAGTCGGATGAGGAATCAGTAGAGGGGGAGATGCGGGAGCTCAGTGATGCACAGCTGCCCAAGCTGCCTTTGACTGACAAAGCGAAGCGACGGCTCGAGCGGCAGAAGAAGACGCAGCGCCTCCAGAAGCTTGGCATCAAGCCCAAAAGCACCCCAGAGGAGGGTGAAGAACGAGGTGCCTTGGAAGTCGCACCAATGGAGCCCCCAAAACCGCTGGTGCCTGTGACACAAAAGCCCTCAGATCCGAGGGAATTGGCCGAGACTTTGGCCATTGGAGCTTTGTTGGTTGAGTCGAAGAAGTCCAGAATGGAGCTTCTGGACGCGGCCTACAACAGGTACACCTTTGAGCCCAACGAAGCCTTGCCTGTTTGGTTTGTTGAGGACGAAGAGAAGTACAACAAGCCAGAGTTGCCTATCAGCAAGGAGCAGATGAATCAGTTTCGTCAAAAGCTTGCTGAGATCAGCCGAAGGCCCATCCGAAAAGTTGTGGAGGCGCGCGCCCGCAAGAAGAAACGCATGGCCAAGAAGCTGGAGAAGTTGCGATCCACAGCAATGGCGCTCACTGAGACCTCTGACATGAGCGAGCATGCCAAAGCAAGGCAAATGCGCAAAGCTGTCAGCAAATTGGCCAAGCAGGAGCAGCGCCCTGTCACCAGTGTGGCCATCAAAAAGGGTGGTGGGGGGCATAAGCTTGACAAGAAGAAGGTGCCCAAGGGTGCCAAGGTGAAGACGGTGGATCGAAGAATGAAGGCGGACCTACGGGGTGAGAAGAAGGCTCGCAAGCGAAACCCTGGACGCTTCAAGATGCAGCAGCGAAAGTTGCAGCAGAAGATCAACAAAGGCAAAAGGCGGGGCAAAGGAGATAAAGGAGACAAGAAAGGAGGAAAGAAACGAAAGCATGGAGATTGAGTTCCGTTCTGCGGCTTTGGCGGCAGTCTTGATAATGCCTGGGTGCCATATGGGCCTAGAGCTCCGCGTGAGCACTTAAAGCGTTTCACACAATTCCAAAAAGGCTTGACATGCGCTTGCACATGATGTTTGTTGCATGTGCTTGACATATATAATGCAGCTTATGCTGTACAAGCTGAGTTGCATTTTCAGCATTCCAATACTGTGATCAAGTTGAGGTTGGCTGTTACTTCACCAGAGAGCTCTCCGAGCTCCAGGACATGAAGGCGAGCAAGTGCAGCAAGTGGCGGGTGGCATTTTTTTCGCAACATTTCAGCCCTCAACATCTCGTTATTTCATTGGTGAGATTCAGTTGAAGCGAATGCTACCATTCCAAATTAAGTGCCGTGCTAAGACTGCTGGTTTTTGATGGCGTTTTTGATGGTTTACAATGAAGGAAAGCCAGCCTTTTTCATTGGTTTGTTAGTTGCGTCAAAGCTGATGTCGGAGCATGAATGAGACTGACCTGAAATATCATGATGTGATGTGTGTTTTCTTAAAGTCCTTTCATAGAACATGAGTCTCATCCGTTTTGAGCCGGCGGTGTCTTTTCTTCGATTTCTCCAGAAGAAGAACGTGCGGGTCGATGCCACTCGGACGACCTTTCACTTTAGGACAGGCGGGTGAGGTCCTCATCTCATGCTACTGTACTTGTCTTCCGGGAATAAATTGGAGCTGGAGTAGTTCTGTTTAATTTTCTCTTCGAATGAGTTTCGGGTAACCAATCGGCCAGATGTGGCGAATATCTAGTGATCTAAAATTCCAGTTCCTCCAAGGAATTCGGAATGCTTCCCCGGCCGAACTTCGGATCCTCCGCGCACTTTTTTTTTTGCCGGCGTCGATCCGGCGTCTGATCCTCGAGCGTGTTTTCGCCGCATTGCACTTCTCGAATGGAGGACCGGTGCGGTCTACAAAGGTCAATGGAAGGAGAATGCCACTCAGCTGAGAACACATATGCAGAGGATAGATGTTGTCCTCAGAGTGGAGACATGATGAATTGGCAGAGCATTCATGACTCTCATGAATACTCACCGCTCAATCGTTTTAACCGTGGGAAGTCCTTCCAGACCGTCCAAGCCGGGCCATGTGAGTTCCTCACACTTGATCAGGAGAATTTCTATCCCTGGCTTTTTGGCATCCTCTAAGCTTCCCACTTCATCCACCCTCAGCTCAGACTGTTTCTTTATCCATTCAGATAGAAATTAATCTACAAACAGGGAAACTGCTGTCAGCCGCCTTCCTCCAAAAGGATTGGTCGCCTCCCATTCTACTGTTCTGAATCGATTGTTTCCACCCACCAACCAGTCGCCTCCGGCACAGGCGCGGCATGGCTTTGGCACACAGGCGTGTTGGGGGTTGCCGAGGCATTTCAAGGATGGCAAGCAGTTGATGGTTTCACCCCGTTTCACCATGTTTCACATCAGGGACCAACGGTTTTTGAACCTCATAGCCGCCGTCTCATCACTGGTGCTCTTCCATCCGCCCAAAGACTCGAACCGACGCGTCTCCCATCGCCTGACCGAAGCCTTCTCCGCGGCCAGACGTGGAAAGATGGCGCTGCCTTCTCCGGGATGTGGTCTGAGAACTTGGCGGAAGGCCTGGGGGGTGTTGAAGGGGAAAGATGGGAACCATCAGACATGCACTTGATTCGTTTTTGATTTCCTGACTCGTGCAAGTCAGGGTGACTTGATGACCAGGAACTGATGACTTTCATGGTATACCATGGGTGGGTGGTCAAACAGATGAAGCTGTCCTGTTCCCGGCGAACACCTGTCAGCCAAAGACTCTAGAATGTCACCCAAGGTTGGGTACTCTTTGGACCATTTGGACTTCAACCAACTGGTCCCTGAAAAGTTGCCGGATTCGATGAATCCAGCCGTTTGCAATTCATCATCCAATCTTCTCAGCTCGAGGGTGAAGAGGTCGTGAAGAGGTCGATAACTCGATGATCGAAACTTGCGAGGCTACTGCACGAATGAAGGATGCAGGATGAATGAATGTTGAAATTGATATATATATATATATGCGAACGAACTGCACGGACATGGCTTTTTCCAAGAAACCCTAGGGGCTTGATCTAGATACATAGCGGAACGAAACCACTACATGAAATTGCACTCCCCCCTATTCGAGGAGTTTTGGTCTTGGAGCGATGAATCTTGGATCAAACACGGAAACCAAACCACCGTCAGTCCTGCTGATGTTGTTGCTGTTGTTGTTGCTGGTTCTGTTGCTTGTGTTGGTCACTCTCTTGTTGCATGGTGTGAGCTCTTGTGTGTTGTGGAGAGTACTGTGCGCCGTCGAGGTCGATCAGAGACAGTCCTGCGGCTCTTCTCTTCTTTTGGGATGCTATCAGCTGATCATGTCGAATCTTCCAACGTTGGCCCAATTGGAGATATAGCCACCCTTGTCCCTTCTCGGAAACTTTTGTCAACACATTGGCTAACATGCCACCGCCATCCACCCAGCATACTTGAACTGCACCATTGTTGAGGTTTTGTCTCAAGCTCAATGCTTCAATGCTGGATCGTTTTTCCGCGCCCTTCACTGTAGGTGTTGCCCGAACCAACTTGTCAAATAAGTTCTTTGCATCTGTTATGAACAGTCCAGGAACTTGTTTTGCTGACTTGTCTACCGATGTGGTTGTCACTGTCAGTCCTTGCATCTCTGCCCAGAGGAACCTCAAGAAAGAAAGATCGTCCTCGCCGTCCAATCCTGCTAGGGTTTCAGCGCTCGCCGGGGATCTGCAGATTCTCTCAATCTTCCCTGATCGCCAGTGAATTGCTGTCACCTTTGCCTCTTGTCCTTCTCGAAGGCAGTGATTTGACATTCCGACAAAAATTCCTTCTCTCGAATCCACACCATTTGGCCGATTGGCATGGGCCGCGTCAGTCCAAACTGCCAGTTCCAATGTTTGTTCACTTGGAAATGTATGGATCTTGTAGATCTGATTTGCAGTCTTCTTGATTGCTCGTATCAGTTTGTTGGTCTCATTGATCTCATTGACTGTACTGTTGGGTACTTTTGTCAGTAAAATGTTCACATCTGCCGCAAACAAAAATACTGTTTGACCTGTCAGCCACGACAATGATCCCAATGCTCCCCGAAGAACTGATTTCTCCTGCTCTGTTGTGGGGCATTCTGTTTGCCTGCTTCGATCCCTCGAAATCCGTATCTCCTCCAGGTCGTTGATGAACTTTGTCTGATGCATGTCAATGCTGTAATCCTGGTTTTGGTGTATGTCAATGCCGCATTGAACAAATTTTCCAACCTCCCAAGTTCCCCACTTGAAACGTTGTTGCAAGGCCGTCATCAGTCGCTGGTGTATCTCACATTGTGGTCCTCCTGCGAACAGGAAATCATCTACATGAGCATGTACTGCACTGCGAACCGTTCCGGTTTTGTCCGTCCATATCCAACAACATGGTTCGACTTCCAGTTGTCTATATCCAAGACTCTTCAAGAACCGGTTCACGCTCTGGTGCCAATGTAGTGGAGCCTGCACTAACCCATATGCTGCTTTCCGAAGTAACATCACGGTATCCTTTGGCAACTTGTATGCTGTGGTGATTTCCTCAACTGGTCTGACATACAACTCTTCCTCCAGATCATCCCCCTGAAGGAACGCTCCAGAGATGTCGCCTTTGGCTAGTCGCAGTTTCTTCCAAGCGCATAATTGTAGGAATAGCTGTCGTCCGGCTCGTGAGGGTGTTGGAGCTGCTGTCGGTCGTTGTGGGTATTGAGGATCTTGATACCCAAGTATGATTGCTCGTGCCTTGGGCGTCCTGTTGTTGTGTTCATCCACCTTCCAGGTTAACAACCATCGCATGCCCACAACCTTGTGCTCTGCCACCTGCTTGCGAGCAGCCTCAAAGCTTTCTGATGCCACAAAGTTTCTCACTTCTTTGTCTTTGGCTCCAGCGAATTTCATGGCCTCCTCCTTGGTCAGCTTTTTCTCGTTCACCTCAATCTGTCTTTTCCGAAGTTGGCTGCACACATATGCCTCCGGATTGGCCAGAAGTTTTTGGATTCCTCTTCGAGATTCTGGGAGTTCAATGCTGATTTCCACTGCAGTGAGGTTCTCCTCGTGGACATAGAATGCTTCTAACTCTGTTGTCAAACCTGAGTGGCTTGATGATGGGCCGCCTGCATTGTCTCCATATTCCTCATCTACTTCCATATCTCGATGGCCTGGTCGTTGTTGTTGTTGCTCTTGAAGCTCTGCCTCTGTTGCACTCCTCTTATCTGGTCTTGACTTCATGTGCACATCCTCTTCGTGATCCATTCTGCTCTCCTTTCTCGCATGAGCTTCCTCGGCTGTTGGTGGTCTGACTGGGCTCTTTGTCACATGTCGGTACCGAGGTGCCAACAGGTGTGTCACATCGTCTCCTGTCTCTTCCACTTCAGCCTTCTCCCACTCAGCTTCCGTTGGCACTTCTTTGCTTACATCAACATATGTTCTTCTCTGTGGATCTGTTGCTATTGATGTGATCGTCCATGGAAGCTCAACTGGTCCTTTCAATGTTTCAACTTGTTGTTCATAGGGTGAGGCTTTCCGCAACTGTTCTGGAGCTGCTTTGATCAGTCTACCTGCCCGATGTAACCAAACAATGCTGCCTGGTCGAAGGTCTCCCTCTTGTGTCCGTCGTGTCTCCGTTGCTAACACTCTTGCTGGTCCTAGAAACCTTCCAACATGTTGTGTGGTCTTCTCTTTCAAGGGTACTTGTTTCCGCCAATAAAACACGAGGTCTCCTGGGAGATAATCCGCCAGCCTCCTATGACCCATCCTTTCGGCTCTCTCCAGTCTTCGTTTTGCAACTTCTTCTGCAAATGCTTTACTAGCTGTCTCCCTTGCCTTGATGTCCTCGCGAAATCCTCCATCTTCCAGTAAGGATGGATGTACAGGTCTGATTGTACTGTCTTCAAACATGTGTCCATATTCATCTGGCGCACGACCCAATGTTTGTTGTATCGGTGTGTACCCTTTGAACTGTTCTTCATTGTTGCAGACCCACGTGCTCCTAGCTAACACTTCCACTGCGTCCATGTCGGGAAACTCT